TACATTTCCGGTGACAAAAGCTTTGCGAAAGCCTCCTGAAGGATTCATCTATATCCTAATATTTCCAATCCAATTTAACTGGAGCAGCCGGAGTGGTCTGAGCACTAGTTTACCAATCTTTGCTTTCCAAGACTCCGCGTGCTGAAGGCTTGAGGGGTTCAATCAATGGCGCTTTGATCTCGGCTGGAACCATAATTATTTAACATTGTTACAAGGATTTCTCTAATCCATCCTACCATTAAATCCCTTTTACACCCTCATCTTCTGCAGCCTAATCTGCATCTGGGTGCTCCGTTTGTCTCCCCCCTCTCATTTCGGCGCGCCCCTCCTTCCTTGACGACACCCTGACTTTATAATGGACTTGGGTGCTGAGTTAGAAAATGCCTTGTTTACTGAGAGCAACCTGACTGAACTATTCAAATGGGATGTTGCTTCGGCAGAATTGAAACGTTTTTTTGCTGTATTTGTACTGGAGTTTGGGTCAGTTTGCTTTCATTTCCTTTGAGGCTGAATGTTTAAAAGCTTCGGCACGTAAAAAGTAAAAATATGCACAGTCGAATACAATTAAACAGAATCCCCATAGCTGTCCACATTCCTTTCCCAAGTTTCTTTAGATGAGCTGAGGGAATTTCAAAGTTCAGGTGCCCATGGTTTAATCCCATCTGTTTATTTTGCTGATCACTTTGACTCCCAACAAAAAAGGGTCTACTGTCCTTTTGCAAATATTGCGTGTCTGTGTTTCACCGTGATATAAATAGCAGCACAGGCGACCGCAAACATTTGTCGAGGCACCTGCCACAGTATCGCGGCCATCTGCTACTCCAATTCTCCTAGCATGACATATGTGCATTAAACCTGAAATGGTTATTGTTTTTGTTTTTTTTGAGACTGGAAGAATCGGCCACAGACCCTTCTGGGTTGGCTGGAGTCAAAAATGAGACTCAAGAGTTTTTACATCTGAGTGAAGCTGCGTGTGCATGTTTGATGTCTTGGAAAGGGAAAAGAAGGCAGCGTGTGAATTTTTTTTTGGTTTGGGCCTTTCTTTGCTCCGTCTGTGTCTGACCATCAGGTAGACTCTCTGATGGCCCCTACTTCGAATGACCCCTGCTTCACCCTGGCCGACGCCCAGTTGGCACCAAGGGGCCGAACAGGGCCGGCCAGGAGAAGGGATTTTGTGGACGAGTTGATCACATGACTTCTGTCACACTCGTCTCCTCCTGCTGTATCTCCTCCTGCCATATTTTACGTGCAATATCTTAGATCCTCATGTCACTGCTGCTGACAGCTACAGTAGCATAAGTCACTCTACACAGCAAGGTGAGGAAACATGTACTTATACTTTTATTACTATAGGTATTATTGCTGCAATGCAGTAGTGTAAGTGATTTTTATGTGACTTTAAAGATTTAAATATAGATCCTTTCAAAATATTAAGAATGATTGTATGTGTTTTTCTATATTGTCTATCATCTTTGTTAAACGCACACCTCAGCAACGTATTATAGAACATTTCCCACAATGCAACTGAGACTTATTAGCATGAACGTGTATATTCATGTGCTAAATTGCAATAAAGTAAAGCCTAGTGTATTACAATCAGTGTAGTGTTCCCCAGTTGTATGAAGTTATCAATATATCATGGCTACTGATTGGAATATATACCGTTTCCATAGTTACAGTAAAGGCAGTAGACCTGTAATCCTGCTTTTGATATTAATTAGTTTATGGAATTTTAGAAAATATGACTAAAATGACTAAATAGCACACTGAAACAAACGGTATCTCACAGGCAGAAAAGGCAGCGATCGTAATTACAGCGCTCTTAACGAACCCTGGATTTCATGACTTTCATAAGGGGGTGTAGTTTACATGAGCACGCATTTAGATAAGGCTGAGAACAAGTTCATTAGCAGAGTTAGCTAGCTAACACACACCACTCCCAATTAGCCTGGAGGAGCGTGCGTGGGAGAGAATGAGAGAGACAGAGTCAGATTACTATCACCGGCAGTCCATGAAAATGAATAGAATAGCATGACACGCTATCTCCCAAATCAGCGGCTGATTGCGAAACATCCGTGACGAGAAATGATCACGAGACAGAGAGATCAGTGCGCAGATTTGCTTAAGGACATACTTGTGGAGAGACGAGGAGAGAGAAAGGGAACTCGTTGGGTGTTCCACATCAGAGAACCAGCACTCGGCAGTCAAGAGAGCAGAAGAGGCAGCTATCAGATTAATAGTGAGTCATTCTGTACGCTTCTCTGCCGTTACAGACAGAAAGACAATCAGAGAACAGGGGGCAATCGCGGACAGCGCTCGACACGAGTTACTAAAGTGGAGATGAAATGCAGGGGACAAAAAAAAAGTTCAATTAAAGGATGTAGATTGTAAAGGCTTTTGTTGTTACTCAGCAAAAGGGAAACGGTATGGAGGTGCTTCAATAGAATCACCAAAGCAGGTGGGCATGTTCCGAGTTAGCCCACCTCATTAAAAGGCTTCACTCTCTCTTTATGTAACGGCCATTACACATCCTATTCAGATGCACACACGGCGTGATTAAAAATTATCTGTTGGCGATCATAATCACACCTGGCTTAAATTTAAGCCAAAGAATAACAAAGAACTTTTATGAATGCCGAACTATCGGAACATTTACAAAGAGATTAAAGGGTAGACAGTCCTCAAACTAAATAAATTTGCTTTTAATCGCTTTGAACAGGAAGTCATGTCATTTCAAATGTCCCTATCTGATTGTCTGATTCCCCTCTTTATTCAAATTATAACATGCCCATCTGACTTTTCCAGCACAATGGGAAAAATTAAAAAGGGAAATGACCTTTCATGGCAGCCATGATGTGAGAGTGAATGGCATTATTATGCACCGAGATTAATTTCTGCCCACTCAATGCTGCCCATTGAGAAAAACAGGAGGGGGCACAATGTAAGTCATAGAGATGTTGAGCAAGTTGGTGCGAACATGATGAAGTACTTCGATTTTATAGTAAGGTAAAAGTAGCGATTCTGCATTGTGAAAATACGCCTTCAAAACCTTAAGTAAAAATACACAAGTAGTGGCATTGAAATATACGGTACTTAAATTACCAAAAGTTAAAGTTAAGTGTAATGGTCCATTTAGAAAAACATATATATTAAATGACTTGATTATTAATGCAGTAATGTGAAAATCACAGCTTTTTCAGTTTGAGCTAATATACAGTAAATAAGGTTGTACACTGCTGCTGGATATTCAAATCAATACTTACATCTCAATGTTTATTCATTAGTTGATTTGTATTTGCCATTAGCTAATAATACAAATCTGTTAAGTAACTTAAGATTTCAGATAAATGTAATGGAGTAAAAAGTACATGCAAATAAAGAAAAAACTTGACGAAACGTGCCCTGCGTTTACTAAAAGCTAGTTATAGCTTAGCCAATAAAACCTTATATTTACTAGGTTTCCAGTGACACTATGCATCACTTTTAATAAATGCTGCTCATGTTTTGTTGGTAAAGATGTTTCTTCATTTGCACGTTTTGGCATATTTTTTTTTTAAAATACTGTGCGTTTCTCCCAATGTAAGAATTTGGGGCCGTTGTAACGCGTGTACACCTGTTGGCCCCCGTGGTAAAGTAGCCTACAATGGAAATACTCTAATGATATTATGTAAAATGCTTAAGTAAATGCACTTCATTACATGCCACTACTGCATGTTAATCAAGAACAAAATGTGTTTTATAATAAACTTGGCTAAATTGTATAAACATATATTAGCATCTTTCTGTTAAAGCTGTGTGCTAAATGCCATTTTACTCTTCTTTAAACATCAGAGATTAGAACACAGTGCTGAAGTCTTCAGACTGGATGTCACTTGATAACTCGGAAGGCTGCAGTTTGTTAGAACATTAAATGGACATCCTCAGTGTGAGCAACAGAGCCACCTCCTCTCTCCGCTGCCTGTCCAGCAGTTTGTTTCTGAGCCTCTAATTCTCATTCTGATGGCTAAGTAGTAGGAGGAGGATAATTACAGTCAGTCATACATCTAGTCATGCTACATCCATCCCTCCTTTTCAAAGCAGTATTTTTAAGCTCAGCGTTTTCTCGCCCCAAAAGGGCCTTTTTCCCCGCATGTGATGCCTTCTTTTTGTCATGGCCCCCATAGTTCTGAGCTGACCCCCTCAGCCCTGTCTCCTGACTGATCACAGTGATGGTTTATTACTGTCGTCCCGGCGTTCTTATCTTTAGCCAGCAATGCTCATTTCCTTCCCCAGATTTAAATGCAAATGTGAAATTTAATGATAAATGCATTATCTGATAGGTGCGATAACACTGATTCACTGTCAGTATAAAATACACACCCCGGGGGGCTTCGAGCTTGCAAGCACAACTTGCCCAAATCCACTTTTTTTTCTCCCTCTCTATCTCTCTTCTTTTCTCTCTTTTTCTCCATTTTTTTTTACATGTACCTGCAATAGATTCTTGAGGTCATTTTATGCATTAAAAAGGAATCATATTGTGTGTGTTCAGCAGTGTGGGTGGAGGCTGTAGCTGAGCAGTAATTGCTGTGCAACTATCTTGTTCCATATATTATCCATCACTTTGATGAAGTTTCTTTTAGTAAAAGGGCAAAACAAGACAGAAATGCATTGTAAAGTGTTCAAAAAGCATCTTCATCACATTATAAGTAAAGAAAGAATTGATAAAGCTGTTTTTTTGAGTAAGCAATAGTTGGTAATTGAATGTACTATTAACTGAGTGGGCTTTCAGTCATAATAGCATGCAGACTCCTGACTCATATGTCATTTTAGTTGCTTTGTAAGGCATAATGGTTTCTTACTTTGAACAAGAAGTTCAAGCTTTGAAAATATCAGGATGCTACTTTTCCGTTTAATGCCAGACCAAATCCCAAATAAACATAGTTAAAATGCATGCAATTTAGTTATAACTTTGTGAGAGGCCCTTCGAGGCTATGTAGTAAATTGATATTCATTTTTCTTACTTGGACCATCCCATTCCTCCGGCCCCCCATGCCTGGTCTTCTCGCCCTGCACATCCATCTCCGACTCTCCTGCTTCTCGGTTGCCATCTTCCTCTCCTGCAAGGCAGAAAAACACAAGTTAAGGTGAGAATGACTCCATCAAAGTTACATTATCAGACGAATAATTTAATTAAGAATTGCATTATGGGCTTTCCGAAGGGTAGATTTTGACAAAATACAATTCCAAAAAGCGACACACTCAATTGCCATATACAAACCAACATAAGGAAACCTTCTGAGCACCTTTTTAGACTATTTAACCCTCTTTAGTGCTTGTCTGAAATAAATGAACCCGTTGTCAGTTTTGTAACATCTGACTTGTAGAATCCAAAGAACTAAAACTGTCTTCAACATGCTTTTTCTTTTTGAACTACCGGTACTTGAACACGGGTTCTAACAATGGGACGTTTTTTTTTACTTTTCAGGGCGAAATTGAAGAGTTTACAGTAAATGGTAAAAATAAATAGAAAAAAGAAAATAAGTACTTGTTTCTTTCATGGTTATTTTTAACATTAGCATTAAAACTGGTTAAAAAGTCATTTAACTACTTTGCAATATAAATGTACTTTAACCTGTTAAGCCCTGAGCCTGTTTTTCAGGTCTCAGGCTCGAAAATGAAATTCCCAGAACAAATGGCTATATCTTCAATAAAAGGGTTAAATTAAAACATTTATAATCTTTTTTCTCAAAGCAATGATAAACCTTTGAGTTGGATGTAGAAATGTCAGAATCAACATAGAATTTTTTTATTTTAAAGTAAATTCAGATTGAACATAGTAAAAAAAAAAAAATTATAGTGTCAGTCCAAAAAAAAACATTACTTATAGTGAGAACCACCCTTGAATGATGGGATCGGAGACTAAAAGCTTTAGGAATCCAAACTATAACATATAATAAGTACCCTGTATCAGGATTGATGCAAAACAAGTGACATTTGCCCTTTTCAGAGAGTTTTAGCAAAAAAACACTTCTGGGGTCATTTGGGTGCATTTCCATATCTCTGGAACCCATCGGTCGATGTTGATCTCTTTTTAACCGCTAGAGCCATTAGAATCGAGGGGAAGTTCCTAAAATCCATCTAAACATTACCCATTGGTGAATGAGTGATGCGTAGCCAGAATGCCCCATAACCGGAAGCTGTCATACACTCTGATAGCTATCATAATAGCTATATATGAAAACTCAGTATTTGCTATCAGAATAACAGCTAAGGTAAGACAATGTCCCGCTTTTGCTCCGTAAAGCTCTGTGTTGTGATGTCTGTTTGCTTCCCCTGTCGGTATTCTTATACCCCTAGAATCTGTGGAATCTCAGCTTGCTAATCGATGTTTGTGCAGATCCGATATGTAAGAAGGGTATTTATACCTAGAGTTCTGTGCTAAGTGTGTTAGCATTTTTTCGCTCAGGGCTCATTACGCTTCTTGTGAGACTTGTATTTTGTTTCGGTAAAAATGGTTTGTGTCGTCAGTTAGCTGAGTTTCTTCCCGGAGGCCCCCACCCGGTTGAACAGGTTAACTACCAGCCAGCTCCCAGCCCCTACACTGGCAATACTCATTACATTTTATATCCATTTCCTGTGACATTCGAGTATCACAATGTAAAGCCATGTGCAACATTACCATTGTGTTGTTTTGTGTATATATAGTTCTGTATATGTATATTTGCAGTGAGCTTACAGGGTCCAGCTGCATACTTGTATGTAAAAGGAGTTCCCATGAGTGCTTGCAAGAACAGGAGGAAGCCCCGTGGAACAGGAAGGAAAGCAATGTGTGGGAGAGAGGTGGCTATTTATTACCGTTTGATCTATTGTGGAGCGAGCTAGAATGTGTGTTATAGGATGTAGGGCTGATTTACAGTCTCACACAGACCATACTAAGGGATATTCAGGTATCTCTCTCCAGGATGTAAGTGCTTAAAGACCTTGTTAAACAGACTACGAGTGTGCAGCAGTAACACTGACTCTAAGATGCACTTACTGTAAAAGGAAATCTATTTTTGTATGTCTAAAACTAGCACAGTTTGTACCCAAAGTTTACAGTAAAGCTTAGTGGATTCCCCCCAGTGTGGTGCTCTGATTAAATCCAATGTGGCTGACACAGTGGTTGCAAACTCGGGGAAAAGTAAGAGGAAATGTGCCCGGGGCATGTGGTGGTGGTTGATAGTTTGTGGAGGAACATTTCTCTCACTTTTGTCACCATATCGTTTCCATCCCTTTGATGTTTTAAACCCAATAGTGGACGGTCAGGGACAGGCCTGGATTACTACAATGGATTACTCCACTTCATACGCTCAAAAAGGGGAAAAGGGATCTATGTTTACATTTATGAATTGTAAAAATATTTATATTGAAAAATGTAATAGTATGTATATGTTATACTTCTGGATTGTACATAGTGTGATAGGCATCATGAAATGTTTTAAATGATTGTTGATTGTTATGTGTGTATCTGCCCAGGGACTGCAGATTAGATTTTTTTTATGCATGGTCCTTGTTCAATAAAGATATATAATAACAAGTAAATGTGAATACAGACAATGGTGTGCAAGTTGTGTATTTAATATCAATCATTGAAAATGTTTTGACTTGTACACGCTTGGTTGTTTACTTCCTCTGTATCTGATCCCCCCCACAGCTCCCAAAAAGCATTTCAGAGTGTTAGTTATCACACTTCCAGCGACAACTGCCACGGGACACACACTCCTTCACTGCAGTCCGTCCTCAGTTAGGGTTAATCTCCAGATCAAGCACACAAACCATGCTTGTTTAGCTATTTTTTTTTATTCTGACATGGTTCACTTCAAAGAAGGTAGCAAACATTGCCAAAAGGATGTCAGCTTTCTGCCTCACACTAAAAAAAAGGAAGATGTATACGAAAGAGAAACTGAAGGGAAGTCTGTAGAAAAATGTCCTACTTACAGTACATGAGGTCATTATGACCCAGTTGTGCTTATGCAAGGGTCGGCTTGGGTTGGCTATTTCTCCCCCCCCCCACCTCCACTACTCTCCTTCCATTTCCTAGTATACTATCAGGGAGCCCACTCATCTAAATGTATTGTTGGGCCTGGAGAACCTCTTTCGCATACTAGGCTCGTATTATGACGAGGATAACAAAAGGCGTGTATCAACAGTTCCTTCCGACGGAGTGAGTTTTAAAAAAGCGTGCGAGATAACATTAAAGGCACTACCTTGATCTCAGGCGAACATGTTAAGCCCTGTAACGAAACGTATTGGAAGTGTTTAATTACAGCCCGGGAAATGAAGCTACAAGATGATTCCTTAATTAAGCAGTGATTAAGGATTTTCTGCCTTCTATCTAACACAGTTTGCAATGCATTTTAAACACAATCACCCGGGCAACCTCACAGGGAACAATGTCACAGGGCTTTGATGAAGTTTCCTGCACAAATGTCACCAACAGAGGAAGAAGTGCCGGAGCAGCACTCCGTTGCTTACACTGCGGTTTCATATAAACCTGGCCAATATGAAGAGCCATTTTTATGGTTTTCAACGACTTAAGAGTTTCTGACCTTCCTGATATAGAAACAGATTGAGGTGCTCCATTTCATTCGCAGAGGTCCACTATAAGTAATAGAGATTCTGCCTTGTTTCATCATTTGAATTGAAACCCTCTTATCAAGTGGGAGACAGATTGTCAATGATCATCCTCTACATTATCACCTAGATCATAATTTACATCTGGCTTGGTTTCCATTCCCTGTGCAATCAAATGTAGATACTTAAGGTTGAACGAGAGAACCGCGAGGGAACAGAAGGGAGGCGGGGGGTGAGGCGGCCGGCTGGGTGCAGGGTTGGCGGGCATGCAAGAGGAGCCAGTGAGCTGTTAAAATCAGCCCTATCGCTGCTCTATCAAAGGATGGCTCTCCAGCCAAATCGCAGTCACACGCAGCGTGCCACGCATTCAGGTCAATAAGCTTATAGGCGATTTACACAAACAATTCCTGGAGCAAGGTAGCAACAAAGTCATATTGGCTTTTTCTCTCCCTTTTAGCATTGTCTCTCCCAAGGAAGCCCTTGAAAATGTCAATCTCTGCCGTGCGACTTTAAGGAGCTCAGGGCACTCTAATCCTGACCACTGAGTGGAGACAGGTCGCAATTTCTGCAAAATGGAGTATAAGTATTTTTAAGTCTTCGTATGAGATTGCATATGTTACTAAATTCTAGGCTGGATGACTTTAACCCATTGCCACTTTTCCAAAGCCACCACAAGCAAGTATTGGCAATGATTTTCAGAATGTAATATGAAGAGGGGATGCACTTGTACTGCTAGTCGGTTCATATTGCATATTTGCTTGTTGATGCAGATTATGCTGCAACAGATAAAGTCAATTCCAGGAAGCAACCTTTCCCACCAAAGTCAAGCATGGCTGTAAGACTTCCTCGCTATCGGAAAAATAGGTTTGAATTGCAGGCCATTTGTGGCAGGCAGAGCACTCCAATGGAGGCAGGCTATTAGCGAAATGCCTTGCCACTGTCTCTTTAAATGCCAATAAATTCCCATCATTACAGAATCTGGCAGTTTTCCTCCCTGTCTGCAGCCTGGGTCTTTATCTCGCTCTGCCTCAGTCTCTGAGTATGTAGATCTGGCCCAGTTAGATTGTCATACTTAACAAACATTAATGATTAATTTCCTGCACTGAGTCAAATGGGGCTAAAGGGATGACTCGATTCATCTTATCGCGCCACAAATTAGCATTTCCCCATATTCTCCGGCATCAACTGTGCATTAAAATTCCACATTTACCATTCTGGGCACTGGCAGCTGTGGCGAAAGCGCCAAGGAGATCTGCTGCTGTGTTTCTGGATATTCTGATTATTTCTATCTTACACAAAGAGTGACATAATTAATTTGAACACTTCCTGTATGTTACTGACCGCTGCAGAATCACTCACCGAAAGGTTAAAAACGGTCAAGGTGGGATTTTTATTTCCAATGTTAAATCGGTGTAGCTTTGGTTCTTCACTTCCACTGTGATTAATATGTTTTTGTTACATTCTAATGTTGGTAATTTGAGGGCGCAAAATAGTGCAATATGTTCAAATTAGTTGTGCTTGATGCATCCTGACACATGAACACACAACAGAATCAAGTAGTTTGAGGTTAAAAAAAAAAAACATTGACGTATTACTTCACAAAAAGAGGTTTTACATCGAGGAAATGAGATACATGAGATGACATGTAAATTTACTGTCAGAGCTAACTAAGGAAGTCGTTTGTCATCGGACGAAAAAACTTGGAGAGCACAAAGGGAACAGCTTGTGGCAACACCCTGTGCTGAACTTCACAGATAGCCAACAATAAAAGAGAGGGTGAAACTGCAAGGTGAAATTTCACAATTTCAGTAAAAAAAAGAGAGTGTATTAAAAAGGATATCTTTCTTACAATTATGGAGCCAGGTGTGTCAATAGTGTATAAATCGTGGCTGTGGGGTCCACTATTCACAAGCAGAGCTCCATAAATGTGAAACTGACTGAGCAGTGAGATTCTGTTTTAATCGCAGGAAGAGCCAAGGTTATTTCTTTAGATATGGGGCCTTTTTTTTCTTTTCTTAAAGAGCTCTCGATATGTAGGCAGACCTCCTCTTATTCCATTTATATTCAAATACACCTCCTTCTCTCTGAGGCTCTACTACTCCAACATGCTGCTTTCAGTAACAGTAAGTTCATCAGTGAGTCAGGGACATGTTACTGCTTTATTAATAATAAGAGGTTTGTTATTCCCACACTGGAGAGGGGGCTGCAGAATAGATCCTTAACAACTATTAATCCATGTGATTGGACTGTTATTGATGAATACATCTTCATGGTTGGTCTAGATTTGTCTTATTTTAAATGGTTCAATCAATCAAAATGCATCATATATTGATTGTTGATCAAATGTTTGTATGTAAAATGGGAGCTTGTAAATTAACTGTATTAAATTGTGAATTATTATGAGTAGCATAACATGGAAGTACTCTCGAAGTACAGTAAAGTGTTTATTAAAATACCTAAACATTTTACTTAATTACTGTACTTTAGTAAAGAATGGCTCTCATACGCTAAGTTGTACAAAAACCTATTTTAAATATATAAATGCAATTTCTTACAGTGGAATAATGGGTAATGTTACCTTTGGGCATCTAGAGATGCATTAAACTCACTGTATAGCAGTTTTCTCATTGATGTCGCACATTCAAGACAAGCACTAATGGTGTGTTGTACCCCCAGCATCCTACACACCACACCCATGAACGCACTATGAACCATGAACGCACCACAATGGCATTAACTAAACAGGCTACAGAGTCAACCATCAGCCACTTTCGAGGTTCCCAAGCCTCAGACCAAGATGGGAGGTCAAGGTGCTCCATGCACTTATCTGGGGAGTCCCTTTTCTGCAAGGGTAAGGCAAATGACTTAGTCTTTGGTGGCATTCAACTTCTTGACCTTTGCGCCTTTAAGCGGCTTTGCTACTTCACCGCACTCTGATCAAAGTTAATAAGTGCTTCATATGTTAATGAAAATTGGTACTCCTCTTTGTGTTCCTACAGCTTTTTAATACCTATTATAGACTGAAACTTTTAATGGAGGTTTTAGGTCCCCCTGACAAGCCCATTTCAGAGAGTGACTACACAGATACAAGGCTAAGCTAAGACCAGAGAGTCACTGCTCAGTGGAGGAACCTTACACGGGAGACCTTATTCTCCGGGAAGCAGCAGCAGATAAAGGCCATGGGATGAGTGGCTGCTTTAAAACCCACGTTCAAGTCCGCACAGGGCTAATTACCGCACGCCATCACATTTGAGAGGGTTTAGTTAATCAAGGGGGGCTCTCTTTTTCCTCCTATAGTTGAGGAATAACACACTTAAACCAGTTAATGCTGCCAGGATTGCGTCCTGTTTAATTCACGCCACTTTCACATAAGTGGGGTAAATTTAAGCCACTCCGACATTAGTTTTTAAATAGATCTAATTGAGGAAGGGATCATGGGGAAAAAGGCTACACCTGATGATTGCGCACAACTTGCCACAAGGAAAAAATAAGTGTGGATAGTACATGATTTAGGTCTTAGGAGGCAATGGGAGACTTAGCTTCTTGTAAGCTTACTGTAGATAGCAGAGTAATACAAAAAAATCTGACTAGTAAGGCTTGTGTATGACAAGGAACAGATTACCACTTTCTCCAAAAAAGTACTATTTGACATCTGGGATTGCTATTTAGTGTTATTCATAAACATGCAGAGGAAATTTGAGGCCCTTCCTCGCATGGTTTTATCCAAAACAATGGGAATATCAAACAGCTCTGACAAGGTTCTTTGAGGATTTTCAGAAGTTGTACTTTGTCCCCCCTAGCTGTAGCCACCAGTGTGTACTGCACCATCTACTTCATAGCTACTGGGTTATTACAAGACCATATATTCCACTTTGAAGTTTGTGTAAGGGACACATTACGATGGAGACAAAGGGTAAAGCGAACGAGGCGTCGCTGGTAATTGCAATTTCCAAACAATTGCGCCGTTCAACTTTTCCCGGAGAACAAAAGGAAAACCTTATTGATACGATTACCGGGGCATAGCCTACCTGGAACATGAAAGATTTATTTTTCCTTCAATAATGTAATCCCACGAGGCACATCAGTTTAGAAGTGTGGAGAAATAATTCTAAACAATTTTTCCCTTTGAAACGGAGCGAGAAGAGGCAGACATTCAAAGCTTCGGTTCTTCATTAAAAAGTCAAATTTGTGTGCCAGTAAGAGTGGGGACACCTGGGGTATTGAAAGCCACGCGGCCGGGGGGGGTGGGGAGTTGAAGGGAGGGGGGGGGCGGGGACAAGTCTGTCATCTTCACACTGTAACCTGGAGCAGACCACAAATTAGCTCCTGTGATGGCAAGGTGTGACCGAAATGAAACAAACACACAAAGAAAGCAATCTAATTGAATTGGAGTTCAAAG